ATGGCATATTTGTATTGTGTGGAGGGAGGTCGTTGATTGGTTTCTATCTCTTCATAGTCATTGTTTGACAGTTTATGAATGCCCTTGATATTTTATGTGTTCGTGCACTTGATATGTTTGTGCGAGAAAGAGACAGAGAGCAGTTTGGAGGAACACAAATCAACATATGATGGTCTCTTGCATCCTGCTAAACCTTGTATTCCGTTTTCTGTGAAATAGCACGCGTGCACACACACACACACAGATTTGGTCAGAAACAACATTTGATTCTCTCTGTGTCGCATCATTAACCTTGTTTTCCTTCATTCATAGAACCAAATGGGTGCTGTGATGCTGACTGTTCAGAAATCAAATTTGTCAGCCATGAACTTTTACAGGAACAAGATGAGGTAAAGTGCCCACTTGCTGTTTGGCTTTAATGCATGTTTAAATGCCACCAAATTTATAGGATATGCTGGCTCGGTATACCATAATCTTATATTTCTTCAGAGACTTAATTGAAAAGAATGTCTAATAATGCAGATTTTCTATTTCAAGCACTTCACCATCGAGTGTAGATCCCTTGGTATGTGTATTTTTTTGCCAAAATGTCTTTTTCTTCTACTTGTGAAATGAGGAAGATCAGAGTTTTGTTCATGGTAACTGTAATCCATGAGAATGTGGGAAACCATAGCCCATTTTAGTTATGGTCGTTCATATGTTTGAAGTTGATGGAGTGCAAGGGACCCACCTGTATAGGGCGTGGCCAGAATGATGGCTATCACTCTATCCATCAGTTCGTCATGTATGTGATGGCTCCAATGAATGTTGGTTTCCCATAAGCCATTTGATCATGGTATTTTGTCCCTCCTGTTTTCCGGTGTCCTCTTTGTTTTCACTGTTACTAATTTGCAGATGGGAGCTGAGAAGAGTTACGAGATTTTATGCAAGACATTCGATGAAGAAGCCAAAGCGAAATTAGAGGTAAAGCTTCTTGGCTTGTATGCATAAATGCAGAAAGCAAACCCATCACTGACTAAAGGATGTTCTCAAGTGACTTTCTATAATAAGACCAATACGAAAAGCAAATCTCTTTAAGAGTTACAGTTCATCTAGTGAGCATTGTTTTGATTGGCTGCAGGAGAGCTGTGTGGGAGACGAGTAAAGCTTCTTTTGCATTGAGGTCTTAGAAGACCATTTAAGCCTTACTTGGCTATTAAAACTAAAAGTGAAGGTCTGTTAACATTCTCAAAAAAAACTAAAATTCAAGGTCACTTGTGGTTTGTAATTCATTGGCATCCCTGTTCTTCCGGATTATCTGCACTTCTCCATTTTACTTTGACCCATTTTGGAGTACATTGTCACTGGAACAGATATTTGAATTTTAAGCCCCTCACCGACAGCTGACATATTTCCCAAGAGAGAAGCTCTCAGGGAAAATAACCTGCCTGCCATATTTCCTGAGAGCAAATAACAAACCGACATCGCCTCCCTCTCTCTTTCTTATGTGGTCAACATTTTGTAATGACAAGACCAATTTCACCGCAAAGATCTTAAAGAAATGGAGTAGCATACTAAAATCCTACAAGAACGTGGCAAAACCAAGCGGTGTGCCGCATTCTTTCCATCACCATCCGTTCATTGATCGCATGGTGGCAATGACCCCATCAAAGTCCAAGGCATTCTAATATAAGTACCATCAAGCAACATGGCCGCGGAAGTTCAAACTAAAATGCGACCATTTGAAAGTAACAGTATAAATAGATTCTGTTCCATTCCATTATTAAGCATTTCGACAGAGGCCCCGCAGTCCCGTTAACATATTTGCTGCCTTGCAATCACTAACATCGAGCACAATCGTCATTGATCCTGATCAGCTAACCAAAAGATAGAACTTCCACTCTCCAAAGTCTCTCTCTTTCTCTCTCTCTCTCTCTCTGTGCATGTGTCTGAAAACAACAAATAATTCATCTCCACAATTTCACACAGCTACAGAGCTTCAATCAATTTATGTGTATGTGGGTCATCAAATAATTAAATTCATGGTGGATAAGCTTTCTAAATTACATGTTTTATAACCCTTTAGAATCTCGTTGATTATTTATATTCACAGAAGGAGAAGCATGCACTAAGACTTTTTATCGTATAAAAAAGGTTTCACCATTAACCATTGGTTGTAAAGCGATATCCGAAGTCCATTTTTATCAAACTTTTTAGGCATCTATAGCCACTTGATTTTACATTTAACAGCCATCAGAAATCGAGGCCTTCTTGTAACAAAGGTAAACAATCCTATAGTGTGTAATCCCTTAATATAATCTTAGAGCTACATACATGGGCTCACTGTATAATGTAAAATACATATTTTTTTAGCATAGATTAGTGGACGAGATATAGTTGCTTATTATTTTTAAAATTTGCAAATAATTTTAGATATATTATATTTGAAAAAGTTTTATATAAGTTGCCAGCCTTATACTGTTGAAGCAAAGCGTACCTTAAATATCTATTAGAAAATTGCTTCGGTGCTGGAAAACCATCTATTTGATCATCTTGAACTCGAGGTGTATGTATAAGAAAAAACGATCTCAAGTCCTAGCATTAGTGCATCATGCAACACTTTATAGGGATCGTCAATTTTCAGGAATTTCATGTGCTCAGAAGATCTGCTCAATCTGCATCCTTATTTTAGCTTTAAATTTCATAATTAGATGTGAAAATGAATATTTAGACCATTGCAAAAGTTGTTGATATCAAAACTGCATCTTTTGGTACAGTTTAGAGGTGTGCCTTACTTTGATTGTTTAAGATTGACATCTTATACAAATCGTAGCAATTATATTTTTTAGCTTTTTATTTTGGTCAATATGAAAACACTTGAGTTTGTCACACTAATTATATTTTGGGAAAGTATAGAATGAGACCATTTTCTTTTGGTACAAGGTGGTCACATTAATCTTGACCATTGGATGTGAAATTGGGTGGGGATCAATTATTCCATTGACCAAACTCAAACTTCAAAAGTAACTTTTTCATACTTTGTGACACATTCAAGCTATCAAATTTCACATTAGATGATTGTAAGTAATTGTGACCGCCTTGTATCAAAAGTAAATAGTGTCATTGTATACAATCCCTTACATTTTATAACTTCTTATTTTGGACAAATACCAAACAGATGCATCATATGTTCTATGGAGGAAGAGATCAATGCCCATCTCTTTATTCACTCTAAGATAGCCAGCACCATTTGAGGGGCCTCAAGATTGCCTGCATCTCTTGAGTCTCACACTGGAAGCCACCTGAGATGGCCAATCAAAGCTAAACTTTGACAATTGCTCCCTCGATAACCTAAGCCCCTTAGGATTAGGGGGCATTTTCATAGATAAGGATAGCACCACCCTTTTCTCCTTCCCTCGCTTCATTGGTCACACTCTCGAACACTACACAGACACCCTTATCTTTGATCATTGAAGTTACCAAAGGGCTGTGTAACTTCAACCCCAATAACACTTTGATCATTGAAGGGGATTCCATGAATGTTATCGCTAGGGCTAGCAATTGGCCCAATAAGGTGGCCCAAACCGAACTGGTTTGCCCTGCCAACCCTATAAAATTAGGGTCTGAGCCACAAAATGTAGCTCAAATGGCGAGCTAGGGCCAATGCGAACCCAGTTGCCCAGCCCAATCCTCTTTTTTCTTGTTTTTTTTTTTTTTTTTGCTTTCAGCCCAGCCCAATCCTCCGTATGTGGACAAGGGCTAGGCGAGGCTAAAGCTGGCCCGATTGCCACCCTAGATGTCACCAGGACTGCAAGATCCTCCCCATGCCCATAGAGAGAGGACCGCAGTTTTTATGAAATTTTCCATATATGCAGGGATACTCACATTGTTTGGCGGCATATCTGAAGGTAAGCGTGCAGCAAAAACCCTTGCCAAGGAGGGAGCCACACAACTCAGCACACGGGACTTTTGGGCGCCTTTACTAGAGCCCCCATATGTAAATCTCTTTCATGGACTTTTGGGCGCCTTTACTGGAGCCCCCATATGTACATCTGTTTCAGGCTTGTAAATATAGTGGATGTAATTATATTTTGGGGGCAACATAAGAGTTTTTTGTGCGTAGATCATTCTGTTTTATGCTCTATACTCCATACAACAGTTAAAATTCCAAAAATAAATAAAAATTCTCTCACTCCCTCTCTCTAGAGGGGCCAGCCTAAGCCCGGTAAGAGTCCCAGCCTAAGCACTTTCAACTTTTCCTAGCCGGTCCAGAGCAAGAACCATATGGGCCCTAGGAGGGGATGCCAGGTCTACCCTTCCTCAGTGGTCGCAACTAAGGCCAGTAATCAGGCCAAGTCGACTCGACATAGATTCAGGTCTGGCTCTTACTTCTAGGAGGAGCGTGTTGGATTCAAGTCCACAAGCATGAACCCAATTATGAATTGGGTCGGGTCAGGTTCCAAGTCAACCCAACCCAACGTAAAAATTTTATGCAAACTAAGAAAATCACATTTAGCTTAATTCCCCAAAAACTATAAAAGAAATTCATTCAAATTTCTCAATAGTCGATGTCAATGATCTAAATCAATATAACTAAGAACTAAAATTGTCAAAATCAACCCTCTTAGCCTTCATACCATGGTGGATGACAATCTGGCCAGAGCTGGGTTGGGTCGATACCATCGACTTGGGATTCCAAGTAGCGTCTAGGTCAGGTCCAGGTCCCTGCACACCCCATCAGGTCCAGGTCTAGATAAAGTGGTCTGGGACCCAGTGGAGTCCAAGTTCAAGTCCATGTCCAGGTCCACTCTATAAATTATTGAGTCAGGTCGGCCCAACCCAGACCCGACCAGACCCAACCCATTCCCTGCCCTAATCGCAACTTGCAACCATCTCATTTTCCATAATAACTTGAATCTTAATAAAAACATAATAACTTTCATCTTGGTAAAAAAAGCAAGGTTCCCAATCGGCATTACACCCATGATTAGCAAGCAAACAAACAAACACAACTTTTTTTGGGGAACGATGAAACAATATTCAAGGGCATTAGATGCTAAATATTAAGAAAACGATTTTGATAGTCAACTCAAAGGTCAAAAACATACTGCAGCCATTTTATATGCAAGACAAAGTGTGATGTATGCCTTCATGCTGAATCCAAAACAAGTACATGTGCTTTCTAGTGACGATAAGACACTCTTGCAAGTCACTTAGCAAGCATCATTCTGACAAACTCTTCATAGTTTACTTGGCCATCACCATCCGTATCGGCCTCTCTAATCATCTCATCCACTTCCTCATCAGTCAACTTCTCCCCAAGATTTGTCATTACATGCCTCAGCTGCCAAAAGATTCAATCAAGCATATATCCATCAAATTGATTGAATCCAGTTTCACCTCTCTCTCTCTCTCTCTCTCTCTCTCTCTCTCACACACACACTACTACGTACGTACGTACTACTACTACCTACCTACTACTTACTTACTTACTACTACGTACGTACGTACGTACTACGT